TGCACAGGAGAACACGCAGTAGGGATTCGAGACTGACCTTGAACACACTGCCTGCACTGAGATGATGTGACCGACCAGCATAATCCCTAGAATCACCAGCACTAACTCCACCTGCACCTAGCACCTGCCCCAATGTTTGTCATACAAACTCGAGATATTTTAGCGTGATTGGTTGTCTAACTGATTGCTTGATTCATCGTGACTGATTGAGCACTTGTTGTACATTTTGTAAACTCTTTAATAAAAACGATATAAACCTCAGATTGTGTATGAACTTTTGTGTGTCATTTGTTTCAACATCAATCCATTTTCTCTATCCTCAATGACCTGCAGCCGATCCTATCTGACGTTGGTATACCCTATACTGGTCGCCAGCCAATCACTGGGCACATATAGGCAAACAACCATTTGGCTGTTGTTCAGTCTTCAACAGGCATGAAGCTACTCGGGGACTTAGGGATGCAACAGCCCCCCTAAGGCCCCTCCAGCATTGCAGTTTACATTTTAAAATACATGTTATTCATTAATAAAGTTTAAAAACTTCAATAAGTTAATAAGCAACCATTCTGCTCAAACTCAATCCCAGTTTCTGTGTTTATGCTGCACATGTACCCCACATTGTATTTGATAGGAGAGGAGCGGTGGGATTCTTTTCTTTACTTTAAAAATCGGACATAACCTCAGGAGAGACCCTGACGCCGTGCCTGGTCTTCAGTAAACCTAACATTGATGTTTTCCTAATAGAGCCTGGATTTAAACCCTCAGCCACAGAACTGTGAGGTCGATGTTTTAATTTATAAACATTACATGAAATAATAAGACAAATATTCTCACGAGAAGCCATTACTTAAAATCTTGACTTTCAAAATATTCATTGATTTATTTGCATGTGGGAGTCCCAACATACAACCGTTTGTCTGCATCACGCCAAGAACATGCAAATGTCACTTTTGACAGCGGATCATAATTTTGTTTAAAAGTTCACTTCCTGTCCTTCCGCGTCGAAAAAAAAGTTTGACACCCTCGCCTCCTGGTGGCGAAATCCGGGACCCGGAAGTGAATGCTCTCTTGCCCAAAGGAAAAACAGCACGCGTTTTTGGACACAACCGCCAATTTATTAGGCTGAAGCATGAGATGTTCTTTCGTGCCACAATAATGGAACCGTCTTACAGCTCGGTAAGACACATTACGACCTTAATTAGGGAGAAAAAAAACTCGAGTGTGTTAGCAAGTTAGCTCGGATGCTAGCGTCAGCCAAACTGCAAACACAAATAACAAAAAAAAAAAAACGCGACACAATCGAATTTGGGACGCCTGTTATCATATTCGTAATTCATTGACTGTTAGAATGGAAAGATTATGTGTGAACTCTACCATAAATATTAACGTAGGCATTTGTCTGCCGTTTCTCCTGGACAGGTGCTGAGAAGCAAAAGAGTGATAAACGTCCCACAATAGCAGGTTTGAGGTCAGCTGCTTGCGGTGTGTCATAGCACAGCATGTTGGTGACGGCGTACCTCGCCATCATCGTCCTGCTTGCCCTATGTGTCGGCCTCGAGCTTACAGCACGCCGTCTCAGCCCATTTGAGCCTACCAAGACAACCGCAGCCAACCCAGCTTTTCGCCGCTTCCAGAACGTCTTCCTCCGGGCCTACCTCCTGGCCCTGTGGGCGGACTGGCTCCAGGGTCCTTATCTCTACAAGCTCTACCTCCACTACAGCTTTCTAGAGTCTCAAATAGCCATCATTTATGTGTGTGGCTTGGCCTCGTGTGTGCTGTTTGCTCCCTTTTCAGGCTGGCTTCCCCAAGCACTGGGCCGGAGACACACATGTCTACTTTTCTGCTTGTCGTACTCTGCCTGCTGTCTCACCAAGCTGTCCCGAGACTATTTTGTTCTGATTATCGGCCGCATCCTGGGTGGTCTGTCCACATCCTTGCTCTCCACCACGTTTGAAGCCTGGTACGTGCACCGGCATGTTGATGTCCACGATTTTCCCAAAGAGTGGGTCCCTAGCACCTTCACCAAAGCTGCCACATGGAACCATGGGCTTGCAGTGGGGGCTGGCCTGGTGGCTAACTTATTGGCCGAGTGGCTCCACCTGGGCCCCGTGGCTCCTTTTCTTCTAGCTGTCCCCTGTTTGGTGTGCTGTGCTTGGGTGGTGTTGACCGACTGGGGCAAGGAAGAAGCAGAGGAACGACCTGAAGGTGACAAACAGACACCTCCCGTCGCAAGGTTGATTCTCTCCTCCACAAAGGCCAGGTTTTCACGCAGTTGCCACGATGGACTCCGGTGCTTGCTGTCAGACAGGAGGGTCATGCTCTTGGGTGGCGTGCAGGCTCTCTTTGAAAGTGTCCTTTACATATTTGTTTTCCTGTGGACCCCAGTACTGGACCCTCACGGGCCTCCTTTAGGCATTGTCTTTTCCTGTCTAATGGCTGCCTCAATGGTTGGGTCCTTAATGTACCGCCTCGCCACCTCCACCCGCTACCGCCTACAGCCAGGCCACGTGCTCTGCTTGGCTGTTCTGATGGCGTTTTTCTCATTCTTCATGCTGACTTTTTCCACGGCACCGGGCCAGCCGAGGCCTCACGAATCCCTGTTGGCCTTCTTGCTGCTGGAGCTGGCCTGTGGCCTCTACTTCCCGGCGGTCGGCTTCCTCCAGGGCAGAGTGATCCCAGAAGAGAAGCGAGCCGGAGTGCTGGCTTGGTTTCGCCTACCTCTGCATCTCCTGGCCTGTATTGGGCTGTTGGCGCTCCACGGTGAGGTGTCAGGCACAGGCGGTGGGGAAGGGGGCGGTGGTACAAGACACATGTTTGGAGGCTGCGCGCTCATGATGCTGGCAGCCTTGATGGCTGTCGTCAGTTTGTTCACACTGGGCAGAAATGACTCGGACCTCAGACTGGAGGGAGCCAGAGGAGAAGGCGAAATGTACTGAAGGACATCACAAGTCTTATTGCTGTCAGTTTCACCTCTGTCGTGTCATTTCTTTGCAGCTGAGATTCGAAACCAATAAAGGGTCAGAAAATGCACGTTTATGTAAGAGGTTAATCAGGTACTGATGTGGTCTTTATTTTTTTTTTTTTAATCTGAATAACCGTGTTAATGCATCTTTTCCATATCTGACAGTGAATTGCTCATGAAAGATCTGAATAAGGGTGTTTAATCAATTTACATGGTACAGAGTGTGTGCTGACAATCTGATTATTCAATCCCATAAGTGGACATCACAATAGTTTAAGCCTTTCTTTGAAGCATTCACAAAAACAGTGGCACACCTGGCTTTATCTTCTTGACAGTTTGTCATTATTTTTTTTTTAACAGACTGGTGATAAACTCCCCTATGAAATGTGTAAATCTTATTTCATGAGAGTGGAATGAAATAAATAATCTACATGGCTCTACAATTAAAACCAGGAATTTTTTTGATGTGTGATCAAAAGTACAGTGGTGTTATCACTGACTCACGTAATGTTTACAGGATTGATTTGATGTGGGCCAAGTTTGGGATAAATACTTGTCCACATTATAAATCTTGATTTTTCATAATAAAGTGCACGTGCGGTACACTGAAAGTGACTGTTCTTCAAATCAGTTACCTTTCAGAATCGATGGTTGCATACTGAACCAGAAAATACGCCTAACGTTGTCTGTAATAGTGAGGTTACACCAGTGCAAGTCTCGTAAATTGATTTTTTTGAAAATTCACCAACAGGTGAGTGTAACACAAAATGTTACGTAAAAAGCTTCCCTTTCATAGGCTGGGTTCTCTCCTGTTGAGCACTAAGCAGAAAATACCAAAAACAAAACGGGGAGGCCATTTGTCTCGTCATTGAGTGACAGTCCTATTGACAATTTCAACCATGTTTCATTTTTGCGTAATTGCGTGGTTTTACCAGAATAAAAATTATGCTGTTCGTTCAGAATAGTGACGACACATGCAATTAATTTGAGAGGCACAGCTTTCCATTGCACATACCGTATATCTTCCATGCTGACGGCCCATTTGTCTCATGCGGGGCAGGGATTGGGTCCCACTCCCAGCCTGGTGTGTCCTGCAACTTCACCTGGATGCTGCTCGAACATCCATGCGTGGGCGAGGGAGGGGCAGAGCCGCACACCCCCGCCACTGCTGTGATTTCGGATTACGACGCAATTTCTGAATAGGCGCCATCGTCCCCTTGTCCAACCCGCACTTAATTCGGTCCGAGCGGCGTGGAAGTGGATCAACCGGGGCAGTCCGGCCAGAATCATGACGCAGGGCAAGGTAGGCGATCCATCGTTGGCCCGAGTTTGTTCTAAAATTACGAAACAGACTCCTGAACGCGCACGTCTATTCATCTTCATCACCCAACTTCACATCCGAAAATGTAATTCGGGCCTTGTTGATTTAACGGTGGCATTTGATTCTTGTTTGTTCGTTCAATGTATCAGAACAAGTCATTCATAATTTGCTGCGTCTTTATTAACTTGTAGTTGTACTGTATGTGAATCTGTACAATGACGAAAGACAATTAGCCACATTAGGTCCAAAAGCTCTAGATACATATTCTTAATTTTCATTCAAACAGTGTGCTGCATCTATTCTATACAGTGTCACAAATGCAATGCATCTTACATAGACTTGCTTCTAGCGCTTGGTTTACCCTTTTACAGGGATGGTTATAGCCTCGTCAGAAATCTGTGTAGCCTCACTCATGCCCAACATCACTTAAGCGGCTGAGATGTTGATGAGTGGGGAGCATATCTGCCTCACATTCTCAGTTCTGAGGTGCGGGGTTCCAGTCTGGTCTTCCTGCATGGGTTTTCTTGCTTTTCCTCCTCCATCCCCAAAACATGCTTCTTAGGTTAATTCAAGATTCTAAACTTGTCCTTAGGCGTGAATGTTAGTGGGAATTGTCGGTTGCCTCTGTGTGCTCTGCGACAGGCGAGCAAACAGCCCGGCATGTAGCCCACCTCTCACCTGTGACCCTAATGAGGACAGGAGCTCATCAAACCCATCATGTGATGCATGTTGTTTTGGAAAGCATATCGAAGATATTTTAAGTCTTCCTGATAAGCTGAGAAAAGACTTCCTTTTACTTTTGTGACTGATTTCATTTCAAGTCTGTCAACGATCTAAATTTTGCTTTCAGGCTTTGCACGCTAACAAGACCCTCAGTGACTCATCCAATGGGCAGTCAGTGTCACCCGTTCCTCCCAGCTATGAGGAAGCCACTGCAGGTTGGTTAGAATTAGCAATACCTCAATTTACCAAGATCAATTGATACACTGTAACGAAATAGTATTGAAATAATAATTGTAAAATACTATTAAATGTTCATCAGTAGCATGTAATTTAACAGTTAAATCAGCCAGTTAACAAGAACAGTAGATAACTTAATTTAAAAGCAAAAAACTATGGATTGCTGCAAATTTCGGATGTATCATACTGTATTTGGAAAAAAAAAAAGTAAAATATTCGTCCCCACATGAAATTCAACAGTTAATGGTGGGTTAAGAATAACAAACTGTAATTCAACAATATAAAATCGTATTTTCTGTCACCACAAATGCTATCTCCACCGCTTGATAGAAAATATATGCTGCTGCAGCTTCACCTTGCATCAAAATTAACCAGTGAGATTGCGGGCATGCTATACTGGCGAAGATAAGACTCGACACAAAGATGTGAACGCCAGTTATTTATCAAACTTGACAATGTTGCTCAGCACGTTTACATAATATTGCCTTTGAACACTTTGAGTTTGTGCCCTACAGAACATGGGTGGCCAACATATAGTACGATGCTACAAAAGGAGTGATTTAATCTAAATTGTCGATTTCATGTAATCGATGCCAGGCACCAGTGAGTCTTGCTACAATGATGGGGAGATGTTATCAGAGTACACCTGGGATGATCGGAACATCCGGAGGGTCTTCATACGTAAGGTATGATGATCTTATTGTTTTGGGTTACTGTATTTAAACTTGTGATAGATGACTCCTTTGAAAAGCAGAATCGCCTGTGTTCATTTGCTTGTAGGTGTACACCATCCTGTTCATCCAAGTCTTGGTAACTCTGGCGATCGTGTCTCTTTTCACTTTCTGGTGAGAAGCCCTTTTCTCTTAAACCATATTCCAAAATACAAAATTTTCACCGAAATCACTTTTTTAGTGATCCCGTGAAGAATTACATTCAAACAAACCCCGGGTGGTACTGGGCCTCTTAGTGAGTACACAATATACAGCCGATCTAGTTACATTGACAGCCTCATGTCACAGCTATCTAATAATAATAATCATGTTATTTATGTGTTACAGTGGGGTGTTCTTTGTTACATATTTGACTCTGTCTTGCTGCCGTGCACTGAGGTAAAGTGTCACATCAACGACACACATCTCAAACAAATAACATATTCATCATGACATCAGAAATCCCATTTGATCACTCCTGTAGGAGACGGTTCCCATGGAATCTGATCCTGCTTGCCATCTTTGTAAGTACAAAGCTGACGGTCTGATTCCAAATAAATTGCACTTGAAAAATATTCGAAATGTGTTTGTTTTTCACAGCTTTTATTCTACAAGTAAATTGCTTGTCACCTCAATACAAGAGACAGTTTACATGTTTGCCATTTAATAGATATACAAAATACAGAACGTCAGTGCACACTCTACACACTTGGGTCACTCCCCATCTGTCCCGAGGTGTGATTGTGAGTGTGAATGGTTGTTTGTCTGTGTGTTCCCCGACGATTGGCTGGCAACCAGTTCAGGGTGTAGCCCGCCTACTTCCCGAAGACAGCAAGGATAAGCTCCAGCACACCCCGAGTCTCATGAAGATAAAGTGGTTCGGAGAATGGGTGGATATTTGTAATGGCAGACTTTTTTTAAGTTAACTCTTGTGTTAGATCTCTTTAAATTGTGCAGGTGTACGTAATAAAGTATTCTGTTTTCTTCTGTTTTGTTACAGACCCTCTCGCTGTCCTACATGACAGGGATGCTGTCCAGGTACAATGTAGTCCTTTGTCTGATTTGCACTTTTGTTGCATGGTGAAGTGTGACAAGCATGTATTACTAAGCACTTTGCTAACCTGCTATAGACACAACAGTATACTGTACAGACTATTGTGCAAGCTGATCACATTTTGTTGCGTGTTCAAAAAGCTTCTACAACACCAAGTCGGTGATAATGTGTCTGGGCATCACCACTGCGGTCTGTCTCCTTGTCATATTCCTGAGTTTCCAAACAAAGGTGACATTTTTACTTGATCCCTCCCCCTTTGCTTTGCATTTAAGTGTCGGATGAAACCATGTGTTCTCCATCCAGATTGACGTGACATCATACCAAGGTGTGCTCCTTATCTTCTGTATGGTCATGTTCATCTCTGGACTGGTGCTTGCTGTTGTCCTTCCCTTTCAATATGTAAGTGTTGTTAAGAGTCACATCCTTTTTATGGCGAGTACTACATTACAAAACAGTGACTCTGGCTTTTTGCTATTTATGATTCAGTAATAGTTTATCCGTCACAAGCTCAGTAACACAAGTTAAAATGCCTTTTAACATTGTGGTGACCGGAGGACATCTTTGAGCATATCTGTTTATCGGATGTAAAAAAAGGTAGCTGCTGGCTTTTTAAAATCTGCACCTCCATTTACGCAGTCAGCAATAGTGAAACAACTTGGCCCACCACTATTTTAAGGATGCATTAAATATAAAGAATTGTCAAACAAATGGGGGGAAGCTGTATAGCCGCTTGATTGATGCAGAAATATTTACAAAATTCACTAAGATTCAGTGAGTAAAAAGCATAAAATTAAAGTTTGTGGAAGAGAAAAAAATTAATTTTGATACATGTCGAGATGGTGTTGGGTATAAAACTTTTCTTTGCAATCCACATTTTGATATTGCCTTCATCATAAGCGCTCTGATCTTGATTAAACTATAGCCATATTTATCTGGATAACGTTTGTGATTTAGGTGCCCTGGTTGGATACCACTTATGCTGTTTTGGGAGCTATATTGTTCACCATGGTAAGTGATGAGTGTCCGATCCAGCAGGAGATCACGTGGTGTGTTGAGCACGTGATCCCAGCCTGAGCGTGACGTTTACGTGCATGTATTGTATTTGCCTTTGCAGTTTTTGGCATTTGACACCCAACTCCTCATGGGCAACAGGCAGTACAGCATGAGTCCAGAAGAGTACATCTTTGCCACGCTCAGCATCTACCTAGACGTCATCTACATCTTCTCTTTCTTCCTCCAAATATTTGGAACAAGACGGGAGTAAAACAACAAACTCCAGGGAACCACAAGGATTAATTTTAGTAAATATTGGTCACTAAGTAATCAGAGTCATCGCATTTTGTAGCTGTGGTGACAAAACATTGAGTTGTCGCTCCAACATTTGTTTGCTGGATATTGTGAAACCTGTACTGTGAACCTATGCACACATCTGTCAAGCATGCTGTTTGTATGTTGTGGAGTGCTAAATCAAATAGCAAACAACCAATTTTTCAGTGATCAAACCCTCTGGATGCATGTCTTTAGAATTGAGTCTTCATACTGGATTAAAACACAGTATTGAATC